TTTAACGCACAACTGTCATTTCCAGGCAGCTGGAGGAGATGCTGAATAAGTCCAAGACACTTCGCCTAAGCCTTCTCCAGCTGTCCCTCCACCTTGTGGCCTCCTAGTCTCCTTAGCTAGCCGAGGGCCCCCACGGCTGGGTCGCCCAGGACCCTTTTCCAGGACCTGGAGCCGCGCGTACTGACACACACTCTATGGTGGTGCCGGTCACCAGGCGCTGCCCAGCGTGGGGACGCCGGCAGCCCGGCGCGGGCGCACCCCCCTCCCCACCTCGTGTCTGTGGCCGCAGAGTGGCCGGGTTGTCGGGCCGGAAAAGACAGATGAATGTTTCGTAGCGTTCTCCATTAAACAATAAAGCGAGCTGTAAAGCCTCAGGTGCTGTTTGTTGTGCAGTCTGCGTGGTGCGGCGGCTCCGGGCCCGGGCGAGCCGAGTGCAGTGGGCCGGGGAGCGCCTCTTCGGCTGATCCCAGGGAAAGATAAGGAGCCGCCGAGCCACCAGCTCTGTCTAGACTCGCGACCTCACAAGTCAAGCGCCTTGTTTGGATTAGCCCGGCAGATCTGCCAACCTGATCAACTCCTGAAAAAGAAGGGCCCAAAAAACACCTTTCCCACCCCCCCCTCCCCCAGGACCACGACGATTGTCCCTTCTTAAAGGGATCAAGGAGTGATTTGCCTGCGGGAGTGGCGGGGCTGGTTCTACCACTGTCGGGGCCCCGCATTCCCAGCACCCGCACCACCACCACCTCCTCCAGCTCCCAACCCCCGCAAGCCGAAGCGCGCGCCCCGCGCCATCCCCTGTGCGGGACTGGGCGAGAATCCATCTCTAAGCGACTGGCAAAAAGAAGTCGCCAATGAGCACGAACTTTTTGATCCTTACAGTGGCAAGAGGATCTCAGTGAGGGATGGGCAAGCTGTGGGACTAAGTGGACTTTTTCCTACGGCGGTGGTCAAGGGTGGGCCGACCTGCCTGTGGTCTCCGCCAGGCGAAAAAGCAATCTTGTCCCACAGCTTTCTTCCAAATCTGGATGTTCTCTTGGGGGCTGGGGAGGGAGCAAATGTATTATTTTCTTTTGAAAACCCTTTGCTTTATCAGTGCTGAGAGCTTTCACACAGAGATAATTATTTGAAAAGATGTGCAGAAATTATAAGAAAGAATCAAGGAGACTTAAGTGCAGTTCCAAGCAGGGACCGGCCTCCTCAGGGCTCAGAAACCGGCTTCCCGGAGCCAACAGCTTAAGCGCCATAAAAATTAAAGGATGTGATAGTAGCAATGGTCACAGCAAACACTCAGCAGCCTGCCCAGCCTCCCCTCCCCTCCCCCTCCGCTGCTGTCTGTGAACCAACTTCTCTGTCTACACTTCAGAAGTCTCCGGGAGGTGTGGAGAGATCCTCCATCACGACTTAGGACATTGTAAGCTGTGAAGTTTATGTTTGTGGCGCCTGGGCTCCAACAGCCATTCAGTGGCTTGCTTGCTTATCAAGAAAACAACAGTCAGAAAAGTAAACAGGATCTGCTGCCAGAGCCTTGAATTAACTACTTGCATTTTACTTTAAAAACGCCAGCTCACACTGCACAAGCTACTTGGTTTTCATTTTAAATTGTTAGCAAGAATTCGAGATTGGGCATTGGGCGGGGGGGGGGGGGGGGGGGGGGAGGATGGGGGGACATTTTCTCAAGCACCAGGTTTTAAACAGAAGCACGACAGTCACCTCTTTTCTTTCTTCCTGCGGTCCCAAGAAACCTTAACTTTCCTGGCTGTGGTGTAATCTTTAATTGTTGATTCGGGGAGAGGAAGTAAGCAGCTCTTAATGAAGAGAATACAAGCCTCGTTTGGATTATAAATCTCGTTTACAAAAGCTGAATAAGCTGAACTTTACAAATAAGAAAACAAGTACTTTATGCTTAGAGAGCTCACTTATTTAACAGAATAGATGAAAAAAAAAAATCCAAAGTGGCCAGCTATCATCCAAACAGCTCTTTTGGTATTTTTGGACTAAGATTTAAAAAAAAAAAAAATATATATATATATATATGAACGGAGATATATTTTACTATATATTTTAATATATATGTACTTTAACTGATATATGTATATATATATATAACTGATATATGTATATATATTTTAACAAGGGAAACATCTAAATAGAACTACTTGGAATTGACAATGCTTCTATGAGATCCATCGTGGCTTACATATTCAAGGTGCTAGGAAAATACAAGGTATATGTAAGGTAGCTTGAAAAGCACATCCGTGGTCTTTTTGGCTGGGAGTCAGAATAAATAGACCAGGAAAGAGGTCACCAGGCAGAATTTAACAAGATGAGCAGGGTGAAAAAACAGCAGAGCATCCCAAAGCCATCTACTTAAACTCCACAAAAGCTGTAGGTGGGCAAGTGGGTCCAACCACCCAAGCAGACTCAAACTAGAAATGCTGCTTCCACCAAAAGCAGAAAAGGGACTCCAAATATCACTCCAATTAAAAAGAAACTTTTTAAGTAGTAAGATCAACCAGGTCCCTTTGATGAAAGGGAAAGAGGGACGAGGGACCCAGATAGATCCTATTCTTGCTCTTATACTGCAGGACAAGGAGAAGGAAACGGAAGACTCTAGTTGTTGATACAGGTTTCCTGATTTCAGGGGAGGACCCTAAAGGATTTGGTTGCATTAAATATTAGCCTGCAAAAGCTAGAGGAAATGAGTCCAAATGTCCAGGCAGAAGAATTCAGTAGAATAAGGGAAAGAAGATCAAAGATAGTCACAGGAGGAGTTTGGGTAGAACAGAGCTGAAGCCTTGGTCTCCAGAGGTGTGCGCAGAAAAAGAGAGTGTGTGTAAGAAACGATTTGCCAACAAGAAGACACTCCAGCCACGCTTTTTAGTGCACCTGCTGAGGAGTCCAGGAAGGAAAGGCACACCTTTCTTATGAATAATACAAGGATCGGAATGTTATCGACTCATCCATCCATTCTCATCCATCAGGCAGTAAATATCTGGAATCCAGCAAGTGAAACTAACTCATTCATCACTGCTCCCTAAATGACTTTGCTTGAATTCAAGCTTCAGGCTTCAGAATAGACTAACATTTATATATGCAAGGTATCATCCCCACTCATAACCTACACACACACACACACACACACACACACACACACACACACACACACACACACTTAGAGTCTTATAAATCCATGCCAAGAGCAAAAAGCATCACCAAGATGTGGACCTCTCTGCAGTTTCTCTCTTGCATTCCCAACCCTTAAGTTAAGTTTTTTGTTGTTGTTAGCATTTTTTTTTTTTTCCATCTCAAGCATTCTCAAAAGTCCACCAGAATCCAGAGCTGGTAGAAGAGTTCTCATGGTTTGCACAAGGGAATTGGGTTTTTGTGAGTTCAGTATTCACATTGGACCTGCCATCCTTGCATACGCTTAAGAGTTTGCCATCCAAAATACGATGATGAGAAAAGAGAGGAGTCTGAAAGATGCTGACCAATAGAAAGAGCGAAGAGGAAGTGAGAAGAGTCAAGTCCGGTGATGAGAGATTATAAGAGCGAGGTGGGAGAGAAAGGAGGGGGTGGGGGGAGCATTTCCTTGGAGAAGATTCCTGTGAGATAAGACATAAGTCGTGTTTTTCTCAACAGACAACTACAAGCCATTATTACCGCTGGCCAAATTATTACCCCTCTGTCAAGAATTAGACACAACAGTCAAAGTAATCAACGGGCATGTCTAAAGAACTGTAACATTTCCAATGCAAAGTTTGTTTTCTCTCTGCCCCCACGCTAGAGCCTGTAATTAACCCGTTATGCAGAACGACGCCAAACAAAAGCCTAATTGAAGCTCCGTTTCCCGCACTGGCTGCAGGTTTGGGGAGGGTGAGCGCCACTGGGAAGCCGTGCGGGGGTCCAGGAGCTCGGCCTCCGCCTTGCGCCCGGCCCCGGGCCATAGGGGGTAACGCGCCACACGACACACGATTAGGGTACGTTAGCTTTCATATTTATTAAGAGTTGTCAGATGTTGAGAACGGCATTACACTCGCGCATACAGAGAAATCGGTTTCCAAAGAGTCCAAGTTTCATGCCGGGTGGGTGCGAATGAGAGGAGAGGAATCAGAGGGAGACGGAACCCTGCGGCTGTCCGTGCAGAACCATCTAGAAGCTCAATTTCGAGCAGTGTCATTTTTGCATCCCTGGGTTCTGGCTCCCGCACTTAAACCAAGCTAAATGGTGGGATCACGCCGCCCACGGAGTACCTCTGATCGCCGAGCAAGGGCTTGCCAAGCACAAGACCCCCACCCCAACCCAGCCCATAAAAGGCGGTTCCCCGCCAGAACAAAGGTCTCATTTCTCCCCCTAGCCAGGCACCCTTCCCAAGGTTTTTGGAATTTGAGTTAAGAGAGAAGGGATGATGGGGAGGAAATGCATAGGCTAACTGCTCTGGGAACTGCTGAGAAAACTCTCCCCGGGTCTTTTCCTCCTGCGCAAATAAAGCGGCATTTCCCCGTCGGCTGACAGCCGCCACTGATAAATAATGTTCCTACCACGCCGGCTGGGCTGAAAGTCTCTCTTTTAGCAAGCGCTTATAATTGAAATATGGGTCATTTCAACAATCCCAACCCGGAGACTTTGGCATAAAGCACTCACTCTCAGAAAACAGTGAATCCCAATCAGACAGCCCTTTAAAGTGGGACCCTCTTCTGCCGGAGGAGGGGGAGGCGGGGTGGATGGGTTAGGTAAAGCGAGGAGAGAGACCAGCAAAGGAGCAGGACAGAGGTCAGCATCTAACTTTCTCAAAACCAAGACCAGTACCACAGCTGCTAGCCAAGGGCTTCCAATAACTTTGATCCAACTATTGAAATCCAAACTTGCAAACTCCACTTTCACCATTTGCAATACAAAACAAACCTACTGTAGGTCAGTTTAGCCCAATTCACGTATAATCCTTAATTCCAGACACTATAGCAGCTTACGTGTAAACATATAAAAGAGGGACCCTGAATCATTGTGTTTCTTTATTTATCTATGCCAAACATTTATTAGTGAAATAGTCCTGAAGATATAATTCTACATATGGCGCTTTAATTTCACATAATATTTAAGGGAAAAAAAAGAGACAAAACACATAGAATTAGACATAAAATTAAAAGATCATGGTACAACCTTTATCTTTTTCTTTTTACTTCAGCAAACAAACAAAAAAATGTCAAATGACATGAAAAGTGGCAAGTCTTCTGACAATAAATAATAAATTACTTTATAATTTTTGCAATGCAAGAGCAAACAAAAAAATAGTTTCCTTTTTTCCTCTTTATTTCCAGAGAGAGAGAGAGAGAAAACAGTCATTTTAACCAATAACTATACACATCTTTGGGGGAAAAGTTCTTGGGCAGACACAAGTTAAACGCAATCCGAGACGCTTGTGGCAAAATAGAGGTAACCTTGTTGCAATGCTTTATAAGTTGGTTTTTAAATCTGAATTCAAAAACCTTTAAAGTCGATTCAGACTTCTTGATAGAGGATGGATCTCAAAAAAATTGAAAGAAAGAAAGAAAGGCTGGGGAGGGGGTTGGGGAGAGACAGGGTGCAGCACAAAAGTAAAAGAGAAACCAACTACAGGGCATGCTAAGAGACCCAGGATTTCAATTAACCCCTTGTTAAAGTCAACTAAAAACATCGCAAACCAATGCAGCTCCACCTTCCTGAAAGGACTCTTTCAGCCAAAGAGGCCAGTCTCTCTTCCTGCTCTTTTTGCTGGAGCTCCCGTTTGGCAAGGCAATGACCAATATAGAAACAGCACCATTCAGATTAGGATGGACTAGAAAATTTTCTATTTCTGCTTTTTCTCCAGATGTGTAGTGAAATGAAAATGCTTTTTTTTTTTTTTTGAGATCCTTGAATATAAATCCTCTACGTTTTAAAAACGTCTTTTATTTTTCTTTTTCAGTACTCCTAAGGTCATTGAATAGCATATGTTGGGTTTGGGTTTTGTTTGTTGTTTTTAATTCTAGTAAAATCCCATGATTGTCTTCACAGTGTTGCTACCGTATCACCTTGTCATTAAAACAGACTTCGTGCATTTCATGGAGCATTCATTTTCTTGATTCAGTTTTCATTGACTGGGTCATTAAATACTTTTGGAGTTAGCATCATTTCCACTTTCTCCAATGGGGGTGGGGGGAAATACTTCTGAACGAATGTCCTCATGCCTCAATGGGACTGGCCACCATGCTGTTAGGTGTATCTGGGAGTTGAGATGACATTGATGCTACTTCACTGCCAGTGGAATTAGAGCCTGGTCCTCCTTCTGAAAAATTGACCTGCACGAAAGGATGAGAAATAAATAAAGGAGACAGCAATCGGAGTCACAAACTATTTTATTATTATCATATTTTACTTTCAAGTATAAAAGTTTGCATTGATGGATAGACAAACTAAGATATCTACACTTATAACTGCATCTCAGTAGACTTGTTGAAAGCCTAAGAGGAGAATAACCTGAGAAAGGGTGGGGAATCCTTTCCCATCTTCCAAAAGATTTCTGTTTTAACTCAAACTGAATTCCCAACATTGTGTTGCATTAAATTATTTAAGAACAAATGTGTTTCCCAGTATAAAATGGCATCAAAACTCCACCATGCATGTTCAAAATAAAATTATCCTGCTGGCTACGTGTTGCCCTGGGAGCAGGCATCAAGGTTTCTCTCTTCTTGAGTTGGGAAATACATAATGCACAGTCAGATCCTGTGACCGGGATTCAGGGACAACTTTGCAGAGCAATGATTAACTCCTCAGGGGGACCAGTGAGTATGTTTTCCTTTGGCTGCCCTTGCTGCTTCTTTTCTCTCTCCCTCTCTCCCCCTCTCTCTACACCTCTCTCTCTCTCTCTCTCTCTCTCTCTCTCCTTCCCTCGCTCCCTTCCTCCCACCTTTCATTCTTCCCTCCTTCTGGCTCAGCTTCCCCTCCACTTTTCTCATCTTGACACTTAAGTTTCAGAAGAAGCAAAGCCTTCTCCTGCTTTCTTTTACGGTCCCGGTTTTGTTGAAATCAAATCAATGACTTTAAATTAATTTTCTTATTTCCAGACTTTACCTCCTTTCCTACCCTATTAAACTTTCACATTGTGAGGTCTAACCTCTAGGCAGGTCCACTTAGAGACACAAGCCTAAGGCCAGGCACTTTTAACCACTTGCCTCTGGCTAATTACTTAACTGTTGAGGCAAGAAAGCAAATGCCCTCCAGGCAAAGGTTAGCATACTACTGGAGTTTTGGTTTCAAGGCAAAGAACAATTCCTTAGGATAGCTCTTCAGTTCTATTAAGCAGGATTCTATGAGGTTGGTTTCATTCTTTAGCAAAAACACCTCATGTGTACATGTGCCATGTTACAAAGGAATTCGAGAGTACTTTAAAAGCTCAGAGGAAAAAGGAATTACAAGTTTATGTTTGTGCAAAACAATCTTTGAAATCCATGTTTTTCATTTCCCATGAAAATATTGAAGACTCTTTTCTTGGTGAGCAAAGGTGATTTAATTTTTCTGGCCTCTACATGTATAAAACATGCTAAATCTAAAGCAGATCTTCACAAATGAACTAAAAGCTACCTCTGATTGGTTGTGTTCTTGTTTAGGATAACATGCTACACAACATGGGATTCTATGACATTTGAACTCACAGACGTATAAAATCTGTATTGTAGAATGAGTTAGTCTCCCCCGCCCCCCCCGAGTAACAAAAAGCTTCAATTAAGAAAAAAAAATAGTATCAATCATCCATCTGAATCATGTGTGAATTGACACATCTTTCAAAAACTGCAACCAGGCGGTGTATGATGCCGTTTGATGACAACATTGAGTATGCACCATAATCGTCCCAATTTGTGTTCTTAAAATATCCCATGTTCTAGATGCTGGGAATCGACCCAACTTGCCAATTGCTGACCAAACTGTTAAGGTGATCTCTGAATTCCCTGCCAATTCTCTAAGATACACGAATTTGGAAGCCTGTCGACTTTCCCACAATTGCTATCTAGGTAGACACCTTGAAATTAATCCCTCAAAATAGGCTGCGACTGACATAAAATCCAATTTAGGGTCAGATTATGCAGTCTCTTAAAATAGGCCGCCAGTGTTTCTCCTGGAACTGGGGGCCAGGGACTCCCCTCTCCTCTGTGAGACACCCCCAGTGTGCCAGTAAACCCAGATCCCCTTTCTGCTGGGAATTCAGCTTCCACAGCGGCTCACACTTACCAATTGCTGAAAAGCAGGCTGATCTATGTCACTCTGCAAGGCGAAGTCACTCAGTACTTTCCAAGGCGGCTGGTAACTTTGCACTTCCACTGGGTTAGCCTGTAAGCCACCGTCGTGTCTCTCTGGACTGGCAGCCACCATGGGAGTTCCTGTCATGCCCTGGATATTCTGTGAATACCCCCCCACCCCATCCCAACATGTTAATGAGCAAACTCCCTCCCCCCATTGTCCCCACAGGCTGAGCAAATACACGCCGGCATTATCTTATCTCTATAGTGGCCTTTATTGACAGAGTTAATCTGCTGTACCTGGGGATATTAGTTGGAGTTCAGCTTTGTTTTAGTGTGTTCTGCTTTTTGCTTTTTTTTTTTTTTAATTCTGTGGCCTCCGTCTGTGGGATTGACTCTAATTAAATCAAATTCTACTAAAACTTTCTTTTGCCTCCTAACTTCACAACCATTCCACTTCTTCCTCTCCTCTACTGTCCCAAGGGCTAGAGTCTTCCATTAGGAAAACGTGGGGGCCAGCTGGGCCTCTCTTCAGGCTCTAAGCCCCACTGGTTTTCTCCTGGACAGTTTCAGAGTCCCACACTTCCACTTGCAGAGCCAGCCCCACCCCCAAGTGTGTGGGTCTGGCTGATATTGTGCTATTATGCACAAACCAACTTAGAAAATGCCCTGGCCCAATCTTGGCCGGCCTGCCAAGTTTAATGACAGCATTTTTATGGCATTTAAAAATAGGCTTGCGGCAATAAAAAGCACAACACAAAGCAAAACAAAACAAAACAAAAGCCGTCTAACTTAATCAGGAGGTTTGTAGGGTGGGCACTACCAGGTTCTGTGATAATAGGGTATAGGGTGGAGGCCTGGGCTTGACCCGGAGCCCTGTGCTGTGGGTCACCTTGGAGGATGTCGCTGGCCTGAGAGCCCAGTGGCAGGCCTCACCCACCACCCAGTGTTGGGGTGCACGCAGGGAACCTTCTCCACCAAAACCCAAGGTGGTGTCATTCCCCCACTGTTCAGTTCTTGAAGAACAAGACAGCTACAAAGTTGGCAACACTCATAGCATGTTTTCTTGCCGGCTGTCTTTCCGGTTCCTGGGTGCCGCTGAGGTTCATGGGCAGTAGCCCAGGCGGCTAAGCTGGAAGCGGCAGCTTCTCTGAACTGCCTGATGCTCGCGGGGATGCCCGGCGGGGGGGGGGGGGGGATCTCCCCAAGGGGCCAGGGGCTGGTTTGCGGACAACCGAATCTGCTGCTGGACAGCAAGGTCGCACCACAAGCTGGACAGGCTGGGTATCCACCCGTCGCTGTCTCTCCGTGTCCCTTCTGCTCCCCCCAACCCACCCATCCCAAGCCGGCCGGGACACTCACAGTTTTGTCATTGGGTTGCTGCTGCTGGAGCTGCTTCATCATGATGCTCCGCTTCTTGTCCTTGCACCGCTTGTTTTGAAACCAGACCCGGATCACGCGGGGACTGAGGCCCGTCATCTCCACCAGTTGCTCCTTCATGAGCGCATCGGGCCGGGGGTTGGCAGCGTAGCAGGTCCGCAAGGTGTGCAGCTGCTTCTCATTGAGCACAGTCCGCACCCGGGTGGTCTTCTCCGGCTGCTTGTGGACGTGGGGCCGCAGGGCAGGCTGTCGGGCGGAGATGGGCTCCGCTGCGGGACAAGGGGCGCGGTGAGCGTGGGCCGGGCGGTGGGCTGGTCCCGCCGCTCCTCGGCGCGCCTGGCTCCCAGACAATGGCTCGGCTCGCGCTTTCCAGTCAACATACACAATACTAGGTGGGGGTGGGTGGCAAGAGCCGGGTGAGACTGGGCGAGGAGGAGAAAAAAAATCTCCTTGCTTTAATATGCCGAGGTCAATGCTGAGTAATTCGGCCGGGGAACGCAGCAGCTCCCGCCTCCTGCTTGTGTCAACAGAGCCTCAGCCAAGGGAAGCAAGTTTTAGGGTTTGTCCTACTCGCAACAGGGGCAGCATTTTCTCCACACTGCATTGCCTTCATCCTGCAAGTTTCTCAGGCCCAGGTAACACCGGGAAGCCCCACGGCCAAGCGCTTTCCTTCCCCGCTAGCGGGGCACAATACCGTAGCGATAGGCACAGGCTCGGTGTCTGCCGGCTGGGCTGGCACACGGAGGGACCAGGGAAATACTGCCAGGACACACTGAACTTCAGTCCCCAGAGGACAATCATGTTAAGGGACCAAAGAAGTTCCTTCCTCATCTCTACCACCCTGGCTCTTTCTTTTCCTAACGTTCCAGCTACAAGGCTAGTTCTGAGATGGCCTGAGCTCATGTAAAGGAGAACTGACTGACCTTCTGCAGAGCTTCCCAGGCTCCAGGGCTGTTGTGGGATGCTGCCCCCCATCGCTGTCTTAACACTCTGGCCCCCCTCATTAACACTCCATTGCCCAGCCCTGGCTATGCCCCCAAGCAAGTTAAGGGTAAAACCCCAAAGACAGAATTTTCAGAGCTCACAGAAAGCAGGAGGTGGAGGGATGGGGTTAAGATACCTCTTTCTCTCTCTCTCTCTCTCTCTCTCTCTCTCTCTCTCTCTCTCTCTCTCTCTCCTCCTCTCTCTTTTTCTTTCCTCTCCTCCCCCAATGTTTACCAGTTGATACAAAGCAGGGTAGACCTGTGCATGAACCAATGCAGGCTTGGAAACACCTTTGGAAAAATCATGTGTATCCATTCCTCTGATCTATGAAGTACAAACCCTGTACTTTCAACTACCCCCATCATTCCCCACCACACACACACACACACACACACACACACACACACACACACACACACACACACATCTCTAGGGTCAGGCCAACACCTATGGGGTCAATTTAAAGCTACAGGAACAGGCCTGAAAATGAAATTCTCATGAAATCACATAGCAGGAGTGGTTTAAAGAGGCAGGCTCCCTTTAAAAGGCAATTACTCCAGATTAGCTTGTTGACAGTTTTAAATTACAGCTCTGTGCAGTGGCCTGTAGTTATTAAGACTGTATCTTTTCAGACTTGTTCTCTCACAAAAGAATAAAAACGATTTAAAAAAAAAATGTTTGGGAGAGTGGAGCAGTTCAGTTGGCAAAAGGACTTGGGTAGCCAGACAAAGCCACTAGGGTTTGCTTCACCAGATAAAAGAGAAAGCTTCAGGGACCCCATTTAATTAGGGCAGGGGCTAGAGTACCTGGCCTGGAGCTGAAGTCCTTTGGCAGTAAGCACGTAAGTCCCTTGGAGGTCAAGGTGAACGGGCAATACCGTGTGAGCTTGTGTCTGCGCGTGTGTATAAGTGATGTGCGTTCGCATGCATCCACCGGCAGACACATAAACGCGTAGGTGTGCTGGGACAGTTGAGGCGGAGTGAGTGCACTGACCCTTCTGCAAAGTGCACATACAGCAGCTTATTTAAGGTCAGGCTGCAGCCGCCACCAGCCTGTAGTTACCAGCCTAGCTGTGGGTGTCAGGGCCCTGACAGAGGAGGAGATACGGTTTAGCCCGGTGCCTGCCTCTCCCGGCGCCCAGGAGTACCTGCCATTTGCAGCGGCCGTGCCGGGTGCAGGGGACTGAGAGGGTCGCCGGCGCCCAGATTAGCCCTTTCCACTACGTCGTGGTCCGCGCGACAGAAGAGGCCGTCCTCCCGCAGCGCGAACTCGTCTCCGGGGATGAGCTGGCGGCTGCAGGCCACGCAGCGGAAACACTCGATGTGGTACACCTTGGAGCGGGCACGCATCACGAAGTCGTTCTTGCTGAAGCCAATGCTGCACTTGGCGCATTTGATCCCGTATAACCTGTGCGGAGGGGTGGGGCGGGCCCGGGAGAGAGGAGATTCATCAAGGTGGGCACAGTCCTGCCCCAAGATCGCTGGCGACCCCCAAGCCTAAAAAATCACCATTACCAGACTCAAAGCTGGAAGCCGGACAGGAAGGGATCTCTCTCTCTCTCTCTCTCTCTCTCTCTCTCTCTCTCTCTCTCTTTCTCTCTCTCTTTCTGTGTGTGTGTGTGTGTCCCTCCCCCACACCCGCAATTTCCCTTTTCTTTTACTCTGGTTTCCTTGCTATGACCCTCGAACCACCTCGCAGTCTCGTCAGGACCTAGGAAGTCACAGCTCCCAGCTCAAGCTCCGAAAGTTTCTGCACAGATTGAAAATCTGGGCACCCGCTCCAGTTGAACCGTCCCACGCAGGGGCACACACCTGGAGCCCCACACTTTTGCCTCTTTATTGGCTGTGCCTGAACTGGCAACACAAAGGGCTGGGGGACTGACCGACGGGGATGGGAAATGCGCTTCATTCGCGGCGCATACACACTGCACTAGAAGCAAAAGAAAATGAAAGCTCTGAGGGTTTCCAGACCCTCCTCTGGCAAGTACATTCCAGTCTTGCTCCAAGGAAAGATTTTGCTCGGGCAACAAGGTTATGGTTACTGGAATTTCCTTTCCTTTTTTTTTTTTTTCCTTTCCTTATTATTATTTTAAAAATCGATGGCTTTTTTTTTTTCCAGGCTGTTGAAACATTTACCTTGATTGTGGTGTGTTTGAGAGCCAGGACCAGCCAGAAAAAAAAGGCAAAAGCCCACTTCTCAGGTTTTCCTATCTGCTGATCTTCGCTCACCAAGGAACAATCGCTCTCTGGTTCCTTTTTGGGTGGCTTTGCCCTTGCCCCCTCTCTTTCTATCAGTAATAACTGAAGCTAGCTCATTCCTACAAAAAGAACAGAGGAGAAAGTTGTGTGTGTGTGTGTGTGTGTGTGTGTGTGTGTGTGTGTGTGTGTGTGTAAATGGTTGTGAGGATTTCTGCCACCCCAAAGGGAAATAAAAACCCCCAAGGTCATTCTGTTCTGCTTCTTGCAACTACAGGATTTCAAAGGGTAGGCACACAGATGAGAGAGAGGGGAGAAGGTAAAAGCCACTGGCTTCTACAGAGAATGAGGCACGCGCAGGTTGTGTGCAAGGAGCACAATGCCATCTCCAAGCAAGCAAGGAAACTCCTGTAGGTGCCAAGCGAGCGTTCCCTCCCAGAATCTTGAGTTCACCCACAATCCAGTAAACAATGAACACAGCTCGTTTGTCCGAGGTTAGAAGGTAGACTCAAAAGTTTTTCTTCCCTCCGCCTACTCCATGTGAGACCTCCCATTTCATAGGATGAAGATTTGACTTTGCCTGTGACCAAACAATTTAGAAAATCCCTCCCCTTCCTGTAGCCCCACTTCCCTACTTCCTCCCTCCCATCCCCAAAGTAACCCCCTCCAACATCGGTCCATTTTATTTACCAGGATTATGCTTTCCATTTCAGGATTCTTTTTTTTTTTTTTTAAGGAAGAAGAAAAGGCCAGAGACAAAGCGAGCAGGACAAAACTGTGACTGAATACTAAATCCTCACTAAACTTCACCAGGAGTTCTCCAACTCCAGAAACCCTAGCACTTGCAAAAGCTGATTCCTTGTTAACAGCCACTGCAGAGTTTCTTAGGGTAATATTTTGCTCCGATTCAACGTGGTAGGGAAGACAACTCTCTTGTGATTGTTTAAAACACACACACACACAAATAGCACATCCTCTCGAAATTCTGTTTCCTGAAGGCAGAAAACCAAGTTTCTGCTGCATTCGGATAAGTAAGAGAAAAGCTGAAACTAGTTCAGCGTGGAGCAAAGCCTGATGAGGAGTAAATAGAAAAAAAACAAAAATTCAGGAGGTTCTAACATGTTTGAGTCTTGTTAGTGTGGGCAATTCGCTCATTTTATCAGTGACTAGATTTTAATGTGGGAAAGGAAGCTGTTCAATTACCTAAATATACCAATTGTTCACAGACAGATGACGGGCAATTTGATGTGCTCTGTCTAATTCATCAGCTCAGATAAGATAAGAAAGACAAGACAGACAGATGTCACCAAAGGGTTAATATTTTTAAAGATCAAATGTCTGGTCTTTTTTTTTTTTTTTGCAAAGAATATTTCAGTTAGTTTTGAAATCTTACAGGAAAGGGCTGTTACCCTAAAAGTAAAATGGCCAACACTTCTGTTTGCTCTTTCAAACTTCCTCTCTAAACAGGCTACGGGCAAACTTTTATTTATCTTGTTTCACTGATACTTCCAAAGAATCTGCAAGTCACTTCTAAAACAATAAGATGCTGTGCTGCACAATGCAAATTGACCAGAAGCCTAAGCTTATCCATCTTCAATTTTTTTGTGTGTGTGTTTGTTTTGGATGGGGCAGCCTGAAACAGGAAAATAATTTGATCATCCCAAATTCCCAGCCTCATTAAACAAGCCTTCGTACCAGAAAGTTTACGAAAGCCACCGAGTATGGCTTTTTGTTTTCACCTGGCGAGTGAAATGGACATCCCGGTTTAATTTTTCTAACGCGCTTTCAGGGTAACTTCTGCATGCCGGATTCCCACTAACTTCACAAAAAGACAAAGCAATACCAAATCAAAAACGAGGGAAGGAGAGAGACAGGGAATTAGCACAACATGAAGGGAGAAAGAGAAATAGCGTACCTGATATAATCTCTTTTACAGTAGGTTTTCCCATCCCTTACAAAGCACGTACAGCTCTCGTCCAAATACTGATTACACTCTGCACATTTCAAACATGCCGCATGCCATTCCAAATCCGGAGAAACCCTCAGAATATACTGATCGTGAATTTGATTGCCGCAACCAACACATAGGGAAATCAGACGCTTTTCTGAAATGAAAATAAATACATGATTGACTAACCGTTTACTTCCTACGGAGATAAACACACTTTTGGTGTCGTTCTCTTATAGGGCGTACTCTGGAGGGCTTTTCCCTCCCCCACTCCCCCCCCTTTAAAAAAAAAAAGAATATTGCGCTTTGGGATGGTAATTGAAGTGTGCCATCAAAATCTTGACTCGTTTTGAAAAAAGGGAGGTGGAATATATGTAAAATGCGGATTTGAATAGTCTACATTTGTAAGCCTAGCACGCAATCAAAGCCGCTCATTTTGTGTTTCTTTTTCCTTCTTCTCCCTCTTTGCCATAATCATTGGGAAAGATTATGGATAAGTCAAGTCAAAGAAAAGGTTTTGACTAGAAGCGTTAAGTGAATGCAGGGATGTCTATATTTTTCCATAAGGCACGTTCTTCATCCAGGTCTGGATATCGTTAGCAAGAACAGACATCAATACAGTTGTCACTCATTCTCTTTTGCAAGTCTAATGCTAATTTCTATCACCGGGTATTGTACGTGCAGGCAGAGCTTTGCAACAAAATAGCCTTCTTCGGGAGCTCCGGATTCCCGTGGAGGAAATCACCGCCTAGCCGCAGAAGGCTACGAGGTTGCAGGGCACACAGGCGAATTGGATCACAAAGTAAGATCCGTTTTCCCGAAGATCAGAACCGACAGCAAGCATGCAGGCGTGGCGGCAATCAGGAGTCACCCCTCCTCTCTCTCCAGGCAGCTACTCCAACTCCGAACAGCCCTAGAAACGCGTGCCTGAGAGAGACCCCCGCACAAGACCACCACACCGAGCCCCACAAGGTAAAACAGCCTCTTACTTTTTGGTGGATCTCCCATGTCTCCCATATCTGTAAGAGGGAGTAATGTCCACAGTGAAATGGTGGTTGTACAGTTGGTGACCAGCCCACAGAGAGGATGCTGGAGCTGTGGCTAAGTGGGAAATAGTGGCCCCGGGGGTTGCCAAGGCTGAAAGCGCCGCTGCCCGGCTGCGCCGCGCCCTTTCGGATCGGGGAGTCCAATTTAAGCCGGCGGAGTTGGCGGAGCGGAGGCGCTGCGGCGGCGGTGGACTCGGCGCGGCTCGGGCACCTCTCTTCCTTATCTCTTACTCAAACTTCTCTGCTCCAACTCAGCTCCATCGCCATTGGTCTGACGCAGCGCGCGGGGACGTCAGGCGAGCACCGCGCCCATTGGCTGCGGGGCGCGCGGCGCAGCTGTTCTGATTATCATATTTCAGCCTCGCTGCCGCCGTGCGCCACTGACCGCTTGGAGAGCCCGCGGGAGAGGATTAGGGGCACCCGAGGCAACTTGCTCCGGGCTCAGGCTATTCTCCCCTGTTGCTCCGGCTGCCCGGCTGCTCTGTTTTCTTTTGTTGGTTCGTTTGTTTGTTTTGTTTTTGCTTCCCTCGCTTCCTCCTCCAGTCCCCCTTAAACGCTCCTTGGTGGCTGGCTGCGCCACCGGAGCCCTCGCCTCCTGTCGCGCTGCTCCTCGGCCCTGCGCTCCTGGGGTCCCCGCAGTCCGGCTGGCCGTGTTGCGCACGGGGTTCACTTTTCTGTCGCCAGTGGCGAGTGCCTGGTGGGTAGGTCTTTGTTTTCACCAGTGTTCCTCCCGGACTATAGGAAAAGGAGGGCCTTGGAACAGGCTGCTCACGTCTGTTTGGTCCCACTTGGTGACGCACAGTCCCGGGCCTGGTCCGGCTTGGCTGCCGGGGAGGGTGAGTTGGCTGGGCTCGCACGGCGCACTAGGGGGAAGAAGGACTGGGAGTGGAATGATTAGTCCCAGAGAAATTGTTCGCTGGCTGCTCCTCCATTACCCTACCACCTGCGACTAAAAAAAAAAAAAAAAGAAATCTCAAAAAAAAAAAAAAAAAACCCGAAAGGAACAAAGTGGGGTGGGACGAAAGGGGCAGCTTCCCTCCCTGGCGGACAGTTTGGAAACAGGTAAAACCAAGTGGTCTCCTCGGACTTGCCTCTTTCTCCTCTCGATGCCTGAGGTTGACTTTTCAGTATAACACTAGGATGAAAGCGTGTACTAACCCCAAGCCCAAAAGAGAACTGATCTTCCAGTAACCCGAAGTTTGGGAAGCAGTGATATCCTGCACAATCATATCTCTCTCTCTCTCTCTCTCTCTCTCTCTCTCTCTCCCCCCCCCCCCCCGCCCCGGTCTCTTTGCCCTTTGTGCAGTCCGCATACACGCGTTTTGGTCCTTTTGAGGACACGTCTCCACGTCTCTAGAAAGTTTTCAAGCTTCTTGAGGTCAGAGACGTGAGTAGTGAGGGTTCTGTCACAGGACAACGGTGACAGACCTATTTTATTTCATCAGGCAGTGAATATGTCTCGGGAGGAAAACTGCCCGGAGAGAGGAGAGTGTTGGCTGCAGGTCGTCGATAGCCTTGTTCAGTGGTTTCTTACTTTGCTCCCACCACCATCTCCCACAAAGTCGCAGGAAAGCCACCAGGGAGCATTCACTCCCTCCCTCTTCCCCACCCCCAAGCCTCTAAATAGCTACTCCTTATCTAATGGGACTGTCAGTTTTATCTAAAAAGGCCTACAAACAAGTCTTAGAAGGCTTAATTTCGGTGTCTTGTTGCCGTGAGAAGACCCGGTGTGTTAGGAAACTCCTTTCTCTGTATCTTTCCCCAGATCGAAATTTTGATAAGAGCTGTGAGCCCTCGGCTGGCCTCCGTGGCGCTCGGTTTGAGCAGATAAACCTCAACAAAACGCAGACAGAAGCTAAAGTGCGTGAGTTTCCTCCTGACCTGCTGGGGCTTTTCCAGAGACACGCTCTGTGATTTTCTTTCTTTTCAAGATCACTTTCCTTCCACTTTTATTACACATGGTTTCAGAGGATGTATGTGAAATCGAAAGTTGGATAGACAGAGGTTGCTAAGTTTCCCAGCTTTGTTTTATTGTGGTCTGTGTTTGTATTCTCTCGTGTGATATATGTGTGGACCCTGCTGTCAAGCTGCTTTTCCAAAGCTGATGCTGATAATGAGAGCATGAAGCAAGCATTCCTAGTGCAAGGGCACATTTCTCATATAGGTAACCAAGCTGACTCTAGTTTTTAAAAAATACTACTATGAAAATACTACTAATGAGCCTGAAAGGAAATAGAGTTGAAACCAATCATATGCCGTGTGTATAACACAGAGGTAAACACCAGAAAGTGTGAGGAGACTGAGGATACTGAATTTGAAACCTACCAAGTAGCATCTCTGTCCATCCTCCCTTAAACCAACCACCATGCACACTCAGCTTGCATATGAACATACGTGCACACACACCTATCACCCATGTGCATGCATGCACACACAGTGCGATATTTTTGACTCCCTAACCAATATGTTCTTTAAAAGAATCATTGCTGATGACAGCAACTCTAAGTAGAAAACCTGGTGGGTGGCTTGGAGAAAACCTTTAGTCATGGGCATTTTAACCAGAGTGCTGAAGACAGAGTGTTTTCAGTGCTTCAGCTCACAACATGATTGTAAATAACTCTTGTCTTAGTAAGTGTGCAAACTGACAGAAGCAGACATCTATCCAGAAGATATTCCTGGTACAGTTAAGGGAATTCAGTAACCGTGAGCCATGATAGATGTTATTCAGTGTTGTGTGTACCTTCCAATAATAGGATTTGCATTAAAATCCAAGGATAGCATGCATTATTGCTTCATGTTACATTACAGTTCCAGGGTGAGGACGATTGTTAGTTTCCTTAGTGGGCCACTCTCTGTGGATTCTGTTCTTCAAATGTATCTGTAAATTTTTAAATGTTTTATAGAGCATGGTTACATAAAACCATGATGAGCAGTCTTTTCCAGAGTACTTGATCACAGGAGCGACCTCTTGTGTTCAAAGGGGGGATTTGACCCTCTCCTATCAAAAGTGGTCTGATTTTGACCTTTGTGGATTCTGTTAGGTCAAAAATATATCCTTCAAAACAACAGTGATATGAACCTCTGGCCCTCTGTTGGTGAGAGGAAAGAGAAATGCGTAGTTGTAAGTGTGGTCCCCTCGCCTCCACGCTGTTCCGCTTTACCTTACAGTGGGTGAATGGATATAGAAGACATTGCTGAGATGTCCCAGTTCCTCATGGCTGTGACATATGCCCAGGTGCACCTTTTCTGTACCTCCCAGAATACAGCTGCTGCAACCTGGCTTTCTTGTAGGATTGCATAGCTGTGTCTTTGTTTGCTTTTGCTTTCTTTCTCTGGATTCATTAAAATAGAAACATCCCAAGTCAAACTCAATGCTGTGTGATACAGGTTGCTGCTACAGTCATTTTCTCGTACTACTCTTCAAAACTACAACAACAACAACCTAAATAGATTTTTAATTATGATTGAGAATTCAAAATGATACACTTTGAGTGTATTTCCTAACAAGCTCTCTGGTGGATAGAAATGAAATGTAAGTGGGTTCTTTCGAATATCTCATACAGTGAGAAAGCTTTTTATTCTTCCCATTTAAGCGAGATTGAGAAGGAAGAAAGAGCTTTGATCAGATCTCCCTGAGCTATGAATGTGTTTGGGAATTAATTCCCAGGGAGGTGATGTTCTATGTTTAGCCCACCTCAGATTCCATTTTGAAAGAGTAGAATAACAAATGGACTGCCAATGTCAATGAGGAAGGCATTCAGATGGAAAAATACGTTTGGCTACCCATGGATGTCATCGGATGGTGGTGGTGGGGTGCGTAATGAAACAAGGACATATTTTCTTCACCTCTGAAAATCAGTGTCATATGCCTGTGTGTGTGTGTGTGCCATTTCTCCCTTTATTCATTTGATCTGTGTAGTCTCACCAACTAGAGTGTGAACCAAGCGTCAGTAACTTCAGTCACATCTAAGGGTCAGGGAAAATCTTCCGAGTTTAAAGGGAGTCTTAGTGTGGGTGTGTAGAGCTAACCCCTCTCTCTTGCAGCTGCTGCTGGTGCTGGCTTATTGTGCTTGGGGGAGGGGGGGGACGGATGATTAGATACCCGGTTCTGCATTTCAGAGAAAAAAAATGAAGAGGTCGCTCTCCTTCTGCCATTGGGTATGAAAGACCATCTCTTTTCCCTTTTTCTTTCTTTCTTTTTTTTTTTACCCCTGAACTCATACTAAGCAATGACAATAAAGGCAGTTGTTAACAGCAAACCTTTACCCGTGACTCTTTTTATTGCCTAAGACTCCTGCTGCGAATGTGGTTTTGTGGAGTGTCAATTGCTTTATTAACCAGTTAAAACAATCTGGGTGAATTAGCAAGAATATTTTTCTGCTTGCTGGTGAGTTCAGGTAGCTGTTTCTGGTATTTGCCGGCAGACAACAGTCGGGAAGGCCACGTTGGGGTTCGGTCGGCTGCTCGCTTCTCAGCCGGGATAGAATTGCATGCTCGTGGTGGTGGAGAAGCCACAGACCTCGTGTCGGTCCTGAGCCGGGTGGTTTGGCAGCTCATTGCCAGAGGAGTTCGGCCGAGAGAAGATAAAAATTGAAGTCTTTCAAACTGTGCTGTACGTATTTAATACACTTCCCCACAAGGGCTGGCAGGTTCAAGCCAAACGCTTTTCTTCCTCTTCCCACCCCACCCCCTTTATTTCTTTGAACTCCTAAATGACCAGCAGCAAGGCAAGGGTGTTTAACTGAATTTTGCCTAGAGCCTAGGTTGGCGCCTGTAAGTGCAGTCTGTTGACCAAGAGGTTTAGCACCAGGACTTACTGAACTCTACTTTTGGCAAAGCCTTAATTAAGTGTATAGGATTCTCGCGGGGGGGAGGGGTAGTGCGGGTCCAGAGAGGCGAAGAAGCGTGCTGTTCCCCCCACCCCCACCTCTTTCTTTCCAAATCTCGGCGCTTGCTTTCTGTCTCTGCAATCTACCTGGTCAGCCCGGAACTGTGGACAAACGCTGGAGCTCTCAGGGAACCCGGAGCGAAGGAACCCAGTCTAGTTGGCCAACTCGATCAGATCTGATCGGAGAGAGACGCGACGCCCTAGCACCTCTGCTGCAATCCCTTTGCAACCAGAGGCTCTGAGCTGAGCGCCCAGGGGCGGCTTTCCCTTGCTCGCTGGAGGGCTGATGGGAGGAGCTGGGGAGGGGAGGCGAAGGTACCTCGAGGGAGGTCAAGAGGGGAGGAGGAG